TAATCTAGCATCTCTTCTGACACTCATCTATTGCTTTCCGAAGTGTAGAAAGATTGGGGGAGGGGGGCACGTAATTCCAGGAAGCGCAAAATTCCTTTAAGCATTTTGAATTTATCCAAATATTTCTGTGAAGAGGGCTAAACCCCAGCCAACGAAACTTTCGACCCATTTCCTCACATCAGAGTAACAGACTCAAAACCCCTTTATTCTTGAAAAATGTATGTTTTACACATTTATAATGTTTTTAACATGTTGTAAGATTTTCAAATACAAAAATGAACCCACATTTATTATCAAATTTATTTGTTAATCTTATTATTTTGTGTAAAAAAAAAAAAAAAAAAAATTAAAATAAAAAAAAAATTCGCCCCCCTTAGCTTCAAAATCTGGCTACTACTACTACTGTTCTTAGTGACATTTATTTGATATTATCGATTCCTAAAGGTAATCGCATACGATTTTAATAATGATAAAATTCCTGCGTCATTTAATTTTTTTTTGTCGTTGTTGTCATCCTTTCCTCTGATGACATAAATTCACGTTTATGAGCTTACACAATTAACCACTAAATGTATGTGTCACGAAATTGTTCTATTCATTTCTCCTTTTCAAAATTTACAAGTCAGAGGGCATTTCTTTGAATATCTATTCATTGCAACAAGATTTTATTTTAAAATATAAATTAGTATAATTATTTTTGTTAGAATTATTAAACAACAAAAAAAAACAAAAAAAAAAAAGCAGCTTACAACATAAACATCTTTTAAAAAATATATCATTGTAAGCCCGGTGGCATCGGGGTTGAGTGGAGGGATCGGTTCGCCTCGTGTGGCTTTTTTGTTTCCTTTGTAAGGAGTGATGGCAAATTTGGCAATGTGCAGAGATTTTTCTTGGAAAAGGGTTGCAGAAATATTGGCCCGCCTTGCGGCACTAATCATTGATCCACCACTGAGTGAGCCCCATTTAAATATGGTTATAATTAATGCAGCCTGATGCATTTATATATATATATATATATTGTTACGCACTGACTTGTATTGGGAGAAATTAATCTCCTATTTTAATTTTAATTGGCTCGTTGTAAACAGTGCCTAACAAAGACGATACCATAGAATCAACAATATTAAAGATACGACCCAAAACAGTTTCTAGTTACAATTTAATTAAGATTTATTATGTCTTAAGATAATTACAAAATAAAATAAAATAAAATTACAATCTTCAACTTACAGTATGGTAGATCTCGTACCGGTACACAGTTAATACAATTAGAAATAATGATGCCAATAAATAATGCGAAATAAACACATATAAGTAGGAGCACACAAATACACAAAGAATAAAACACGCCTCGTAATGTTAAGA